ACATCAAAATATTCAGTTTACAATTGTTTGTTTTGAGGAAAATCAACCCAAGTAGAAACAATTTGATTTTGAAAAACCCAGTCTTTGATTACACTAAATACATAAATAAAAATCACCAAGACAGATAAATATTGCACCCAAGCCCACTTAATGATAAACCAAAACCCTGGAATGTATGAAATATTTTGTTCTGGATAATGTAAATTGAGATCTATAATAAATAAATCAGTTTCTCCTGTCTGCAAGCTTGAGTACATGTTGCTTAATCTTGTTGTTACTGAAAAAGAAGATGGACTTACATATAAAAGAAATCTTGAAAATGTATCTTTATACAGTAGTATTGGAAAAATGGCTCATGCAGATCATTCAAACAACAAATTTCTTCACTTTCTTTCACCTTTAAACCTTTCATGTTTTTTCATACTGCCCTTCTACACTTCCTTATTTTTTCTTCAATTTGATTTAATATTTGGATAACTTTTACTACATCCCTACTTCTTCAGCCTCCAACCTTCAAACTACTCATTAACCTAAACTGACGATGCATTACATCAAGTAATGCCATACACAAATTAATGTTCTCACTTTTTTTCTTTTTGCTCTTCTAATTTGCTATACGTTTTTAAGAAATTTAATAACCTTCTGAACTTTTCTGCAGTAACAAATCTTTATCTCCAATATTAATGGGTCATGTCATCCTTCCAGAAATTGTCACCTTTTAATCATCCTTTACAGTTCTAGCTACTTTACCCAACTTCTTTAACTCTGTCTGATAATCCTTGAGGAAGAATGACGGCTCTCAGGGGATTATTTTAACTATCATCAAAAGTAAAAAAAAAAATTTTGTCTTAAATTACTGTAACACCAGATACAGCAGCCTATGTTTTATTTTACATTATCTTTTTCTTCATAGCTCAGAAGCTTAAAAAAAAATATTTTATCACAATACAAAATACCCTGTATTGTACTGTACACTGTTAACACTTTGTCATCAAGTGGTTAACACTGGTTCATTTATTGTAATAATTTTTTTAGGGTTACACAGCGAAACAGAGGAGTTTGAACGCATTATAAGAATAAAATAAGAGTCATTGAGGGAGCTCCACTATGATGAAAGCACAGTACTGAATTGTGCTTTATCAAGGGTCTACTGCATAAATATACTTTGCTAACCCACAGACTAAATGTGGTGATTTACCCTTAGATTAGAAATGTTCAGACTACTGACACATGTCAGCATCAATAGCAATATGCTGAACTCCCATCAAACAAGTGAAATTTAGAATATCCAGATTGTTAAATAACCAAAAAATTTGAAGTTTTTCACTTCTCATTACAGCTTTAAAAAAAGGGTAATTTCTGAAATTACCATTCAAATTTTTCATTATTTGTTGTAATAACTACATTGTTCTTTTTTATCTACCTTCTCATATGGTTTTTGTAGAGCCAAAAATTCTCACTCATACTTTTCAAGCAAACACTTCCTCTTCCACATCATCTACTTTCTCATTTTTTCTGCTTCCTATCCTTAACATTTCAACAGTAATTTGCTTCCTTACTTCCTTAGTCTGCCTTACCACTGGTGTTAAGGTAAAGTTGCCTAACCCCTTCACTATGGGGACATCACTTTTAATATTCTATTTGGCTAATGCCAGATGATTTTATTCAGAAGAGAGGGGACCCCATACACAATTGGTTAAAGAAAATGATGGTACTCACAATTTCTTTTCCAGTAGTTTGAAAGAATATTATGCAACTTCCAATCTTTAGCTGAAGATGCAGACAAAGGCAAGACTGATGTGTTATAGAGCGAGTGTGTGCCTGAGTATGGTAGAGGGCGCTGCTGATGAAGTGTAAGATCAGCCCAGGTGTAAACTGCTGATACTGGGACTCCACTGCTGTGTTGCACAACCCCAAGCCCTTCTAGCACAACTTCGCACATATGCTGGTAAATGGTGAGAGGATTATGAATGGCTTTCATAAAGATACCTGTTAAGATATTATATCACATACACACACTCGCACACCAAAAAATACAAATTTGTCTCAGTAATGCATGAAATCAGTATTGCAGGATTTTATGAAATTTTTTTTTCAGAATGAAAATGAAAATAAATTGGTAATTTAATGTAAATTAATAAATAATATCCATACACAGTCATTCAATGACTTTGAAAATAATATACTGTACTCATAAGAGCCTCCTTCTGAATGCAATGTGAGGCAATAAGATATATGGTAGCAGTGTAAGTATGAGTCTTATTTTCGAAACAACATAGGAAACATATAGAGTAGAGTACTGTACTGTACATTGTCCATTCACAAAGTGGGCAAGCTGTAGGAGTGTAGAGAGAGAGGATTTCTGCCACACAAAACACTTCTGGGAAGAGGAGGACAGCAGTTTGACCCTTAATTTATTTTTTAAAACTGAAATTGCATTATCTTATCACCTGCTCAACACAAAAAAAATGTATATACGTACAGTACTGTACAATCTGGTTAACTGGTCCAGGTAGATAAAACTACCACATATTACAACAGTGTTCAAAATGGTATACAATACTACCCAAAATTAATAAGGCTTTGGGTAAAACTTCCTGCCTTTGGCCCATCCTTTCACCAGCCAAAACGTACAGTAACTTGCATTAGAAGCAGGTATGAATCTGATAAAGAAACTATTACTGTATTTGTCTAATCTTGTACAGTATTAGCAAAAGGATATACAGGTATCCCTCATTTAACAAATGTATTAGGTTCTTGGAAAACCATTCAGTAAGTGAATTTTCGTATCTTGAATAACAGAACAAATGTGAAAAATAGGGTTCGGTTCCCAAACAACAAGAAAACCTGAATATTAAAAAAAAAAACCATTAAATCAATTCACTAACAACAAAAAACTACCAAACCAATTAAAAAATTTACCCATTTACTGTACTTTACTACTTAACACATTTAAAACATTAAAAAAATCTATCTAGATGATAATATGCAGCTATAACCATAAACAAAAAGCTAAATCAAAATTTAACACAACTGCCATTTGCATGAGATGCAGCCACGTGGCCTCAAAGTTTGCCATATCAACTCAGCCCAACTGGGACACTGCCTTCTCTCCTCCCTTCAGCTCCCTCTCTCAAAGTGCCAACTCTCACACACAAATATTTATTCCCTCTATGTTTTTGACCTCATGCATTTTTTTTTTAACTTTTTTTGCACATTATATATGAAGGATTGTGTATGCATGTAACCGAGTTAAAAAGTGAAGAAAGTTAAGTATATCTTCCTGAAATTACGAGTTGAAAAATATTAAACCATAATATAGCTCTCTTGCTGAGCCTGCTAACTCTTGCTGGTGTACAACGAAATGTTTATTCATTTTATGTTTTTGACTTTATGATAAATATTCCCTTTGTTATGTTGTTGTTGTTTTTTTTACACATTCTGTATGTAGGACTGTGTGTGCATATAAATGGGTAAAAAATAAAGTTAAGTTTATCTACCCGAAATCACGAGTTGATATTAACCAAAACATAGCTTACAGCTCGGCCTGGTAGCAAGAGGGATAGGGGAATGTGATTACACTGTACAATGATGAGTATAACTTGGCAACATTGCCACCAGCGATGTTAAGAGTAACACTTCAATAACCACACCACCACCGTCAGCTGTGAATTCAAACACATGAACTGAATAGTGGGAGCAATTACCTTAAGGGAGGGCTGTCAGGGCTCACCACAAGGGGTAGGGAATAGCAGAAGGAAAAATGGGCTAAAGGAAGATGTGGGAGGAGGGGGGGTATGATCATTGAGCGAGAATACATCTCTGCCCATCTCTCCAAGATGACTGCCCCAGCTGAATTTTTGCTGGTACTGTACCCAAATTCGTATAAGTGGGGGACGCTTTCGTTAAATGAAAAAGAGGTGTTATTTAGGAAATCTGTATAAGCAAATCTTTTGTATCTCAAACATTCATTAAGAGAGGGTATACCTGTTCTGTATACTTACATGAAGTCTGTAGTCAAAGGTAAGCAGCAGCATTGTGCCATAAACTAATTCGTTGTTTGCCAGTGGTAAAGTCAAAGTAAAATCCAGTCCTTCTTGCACACCATCATTGTTCTTGTCAACTTCATGTGACTGAAATTAATTGAAAATCTTCATGGAATTATATAAATAACCAACTAATCCTGCAGTTTTTTTGTCAAGGGAAGAAAACAATAAGAATTAATGAAAGACATGAATTAAATTTTCATTTGGAATAAGAGAACTGGCAAGGTGGAGAATAAAGAAAGAAAATAAGAGATTTGTCTTCAACAGTATAAAATTCATCAGAAAAACTACAAATGGCATATACAGTACAGTACTGTACAGTAATACTGTACCTCTCTATACCAAAATAATTGGTGAGCAGCCAGTTTGGTACTGTATATGGGGGTTTTCAGTATAAAAAAAAACTGAAAATTTTGTCTAATACCAAACTCAGTTCAGTATATATTGTCACAATACCAGACTTTTTTTATATATAAAATATAATCTAGTAACACAATACAAAAAATTTATTATTAATAAAATATCTGTACAAGAGTAATTACTAATTTGAAAAGCTGTACAGTACTGCACTGTACAGACAGCCAAAGGTGTAGTACGTGGTCCAATTATTTACAAAATGGCACATACCCAGGGCCACATAGAGGTGTCATCCTTTGGGAGGCACTGTTGGGTCTCCCCTAGAGGGTCATCCTCCTCTTGCAAGGGTATCTCAGGGGTGGTTTAGACATCTGAATCCACTAGAATACCCTCCTTGGTTGGCACCATAGATGATCCTGGTTCTTATTACAGCACAATTACAGTACATTACAGAAGGATCGCCACTTTTGAGGTACTGTATCTATTTTCGTGATTCATTGGTTTTGCGGTAGGGCGCAAAAATTCTAAGTCATTCTTTTTCACGGAATTGCTCACCACTTTCGAGTCGGAAAAGCCCAAATATAGCCGCGCACATCTCTGCTCTGACACTCAAACCATCGTCGTTCCTCATCTGAACCGCTTAACAGCCATCTACAAAGCATGAGTGAATGCCCGCCATCCATCTCTTACCATAAGGTTTCTAAGATGAGAACCAGCAGCTGCCTTACGAGACATGAATGTGGATGAAACAGATGACAGGACAGTGGATGAGAATGTGGATGAGGTGTTACAGCATGAAGACTTGGACTTTGAAGGCTTCAAAAATGCATTGCAAGATGTAGCATCAAGCTATTCAATGATTGTGTCAAGGTTGGGACTATTCTGTACAGTACTGTATATCACCTGCACTTGTTGTATGAGTGTCTGAATAAGTGTTGTAATTTTTAGTGGTGGTTATAGGGTGTTATCAAGGTGATAAAGTGGCAGAACCGGTACCAATTAACCATTTAACATGTACAGTACAGTAAACAACAAAATTTTAAATATTTCTACACCCCTTGGTCTGACAGCCTCACAACTATCACTTGACTGAGACCATGTTCATTTGGTAAGGTGAGTTCTTCTGATTGTGATGCATTGTGTAACCAATAAAATGTACTCTGTATGTCACATATAGTTAATACAGAGAAATTAACAGGAATAAATATAATACCCATGTTATTCACAATTTTTGGTCTGGTGTGTCATACTGTATAATACTGTACTGCAAAGGTGCAGCATTTTATTTTTTTTACTTTGCTTTTCTTAATATATTGCTGGTTGGGCAGAATTAGGAGTAACGCAGGCTTTCCCCTCAGTCAGTGTTATTCATTCCAACAGCTGTAATAGATGTCCTTTGCAAATAGTGCTATCCAGTGATTTGATGCAATCTTGGACCATAATGCAAAATAGGGTTAATAAAATTAGCTGTGAACATACCATTTACATTCTCGAAAGAGGAATACTGTATATGGATGAGCACTTTGTCGAATATTTGCTGCTGCATGACAAATGAATGACCCTGAGGTTCTTCACAGGGTTACATATTACATGCTCAAACATGCCAGGGTATGTGTGTATACAAGCTCAAGGTAGCCATATTGAACAATTATCACAATAACATTTCTGAATGGTACCGACCCCAGAAATCAGCTGCTATTATTTGACATAAAGTCGTGATACACCCAATACATACTAGTTACAAGAAAAAGCTCTAATTTTCTTTTAAAATTATTAAAAGGTAATTTATCATTTCACCTCTTGTCAGCTTACTAGCAGTTTGGGAGACCATTATATTCTCTGTTATGACCTTCACATGAGAAAACCTGAAGAAAACCTGCAATGTTTGGTAGGGTCTCAATGGATAACACCCTTCTCACATCTGACCAGGGCTGGAAATTGAACACAAGACACTGCTGAGAGGCAAGCATGTCACCTCTAACAAAGTGAGTACTGTACAGTACAATGATTTTGCTAGCCAAAATATTGATATTATTATCACTCACCTTGATTAATGGGATTCTAAGATAATTCCCCATCAAAGAATTAAAAGCTGGATAGGTGGACCACACAACAGGTCCTAGCGAGGTATCAATAATTAGAAGCACCTGATGTTTGAACCGAACATCAGCTTGCTCACGAAATTCAGCCTCTCTTATCCAAAGACCTGCAGAAAAAGGAAGAAATTAATATAGAACTACTGTATACAGTATGGTAGTTCCATTGGTGACAAGTTATTGAGATGATAACCTGTCACCCTGCAGAGGCTGATCAAGGTTTATATGATGGGGATACTCCTTTGATGCCATAACTATAGTCTGTTCACTCACAGCTTACAGCAGAGGCCTAGGGTCAATTTGTTGTAAGGCAGGTGATTGGTTGGTGGAGACACCCAAAGAGCCACAACAGTTCTTTACTATTTAATCTCTTGTATTTATATTACTTGTACGACATTTCAAGATACAATACCGTAACCTTTTCGTGTTTATGTCTGATAATTTATGCACTTTGGGAAGCAAAAATTAGCAGGTGAATTGCACTGGTAACATAAATATCGTAAAGAGAACACAAACATGATGAACAAATTCGGGGATGTAAACTCCCCTTTACCAAGTGACGCCACAATTTTTGGTGGAAAGGTTGGACATTTGTAACACTGCTCCCAGTGGTAATACTTGATAACAGTTGTCCAGCCTTAGCAAGCAACCTGACCTAGCCTAATAGGGTAGGAAAGGTCATAATTCAATAATTGTGCATTTTCTCTCACTTTCAATATCACCAGTGGATTCAGCATGAAAACTGCATTAAACATTTTGTTTTCATACCTACATCATATGCTGGTGTTTGATGAATAATTACAGTACTGTACTGCACAGTACTAAATTTATAAAACTAGGTAAAATACTATTATATAAGTTTTAACCCCACATTCTCCCCTCTTCTTCAAAGCCCCACCCACTTTGTGGAGTACAGTACAGGGTACTGTATTAATATTGAAGTAGAAATGGGCCACAACTAAAAAAGGAAGCAATTGCACAAGAAACAGTGGTACAGTAATAGTGGACGAGATGGCTAATACCAGAAAAAGGTTTTCTGTTTCGTTCATTTTATCTAAAAATGTTGTTTGGATGATAAAACTATGTGACAACTTTTCCTGTATTTATTTGAGTATTTATTTGTTTACATTTTTCTTTATCTACTATCATAAATCACCTGTAGCGGGCAGGGCATGAAAAAAGTGTAAATGTGGGGTAAAACGTGGTGGAAAAACAGACCATGTAACTTAAAATGATGTCACATGTTTTTGTACGTGAAGATATCAATTAATTACTTACAATAAATACTCCTTTGAAAAATCTGCCGAGTTAGCGCATGTTGTCACCTACTCAGTTTGTTTACAACTGACCTGCTTGGTCTGAGCATACTCATACGTCCACAAAAAACGTAAAATTGCACCATAGCACTTCAAAGTTGCTTTCAATGGCACCATATATCAAAATCAGTACTTTCTGTTTAATATGGTGATGGGTCCTTTCCCTGGCTAAAAAGTTAGGTTTCTTTGGTTGGTTAGGTCAGGTTCTAGTAAATGTTGCCTCTTTTAAAATACCTTCTATAATGATAAGAACATCAATGGAAAAAAAAGGAATAAAATTGAACAACTCCTTCTTCTGGTAGTGTTGTTCTCGGACCTAACCTTCTAAACTACTTACATCCGCCAAAACAAGTGAGTAAAAAATCAAAGGAAATCCATAAACATTTTCTGGTGGTAGCAGTTTCGGTAATTATATAGGACTAACCCGCGAGTGAAATTGATTGCAAACAATTATAAAACGCCCGATTTTCATTGTTATATTATAGTGGACACTGTTGTAGTTTGTGGAAATAGGTTAAAAAATGGATATTTTAAAATATAAATGCTACTTAACATTTATGGGTATGAAGAACAGACCTAACCTTACCTAACCTAACCTAACCTAACCTAACCTAACCTAACCTAACCTAACCTAACCTAACCTAACCTAACTTCCTCGGTATATCAAACAGAAAAAACTTACTATGATATATGGTGAAATTTGAGGCATTTTCTAGATGCGAGATGATACGGCCGCATCGGCGCTGTGCAGCCCCGCCGGGTTAGTCCTATATATTAACCTCAGTTTCCTCATAAATTACCAAAATTCCTTCTGGTGTTAGCCGTTTGATCCAGCATTACCAAGTAAGTTTTGTATGCTTAATATGCTGGGGTAAGGGGGGGGGGAGTGTATGGGGGCAAAGAAGTCAGGTAAGGTTAGTTAGGTTTGGTTGGTTAGGTCAGGTTCTGTGCACTGTATCGTTATTACTATCATCAAAACAACATCTGGGTTAATGTTTGTTTAATGACTGTGGTAAGATATTCCTATGTGGTTATTCTAGGCTATTAGGATTAGATTAGGTTTGGTATAGTTAGGTTTGGGATTAAATTATCATTTCGGTCATTCAATTACTTGGAAGTAAGTTTGGTTAGGTTAGGGATAAAATTATTGTTTCAGTCATCCCCTTATTTGGTAGGTCAGAATGGTTCAAAACACAAAAAAAATGATCACAAGAACATAATTTCATTCTAACCTTACCTAAACCTCTCTCAAACAGTGGTAACTTAAAATCATAAAATTTGCTGGATGACCACAAAGGATAATATTACAAAGTTAAGTTAGGTTAGGTTAGGTTAGGTTTGGTTTCAAGTGATTTGGAAGTTGAAATTGTTGTGTGAATAGGTTTCTTTGTGTATTTAGGGGTGTTTTATTCAAATCTGACCTCCATTTCTTGTGCAAATGAGTAAATTTTGTCAAAAAATAAAATAAACTTTTTTAAAAATGCAATAACTTCCTTATTATCAACTTGTGACGGAAGTGTAATATAAGAAAATGATCATAGAACAAAAATAGTTCTATCGATTGAGTGAAGTGAAGTGAATTTCCAGAATTTTGTGGTTGCTGTTTACTGCAAAATTACCATTTTTTTTAATTCGCTTTTTTTCCCAAAAAATTAATGTTAGATTTTAGTAAAACACACTAAATACGCCCAAAAATAGCCCTGCTCTCATCAACAAAAAGGAACTTGTTTGATGACCTTATTAAATATATTAAAATTATGGAGCTATGAGTGTAAGGTGGTAGCTTTAGTTTTTAGTTTAAAAAATTTATTGACAAAGCTTGTAGTACAGTTTGCTTATTCTGAGTAATTCGGTCAGGTCTTGACACTGAGGGTGGTATCACTTCTCACTACCACGCAGGACAGAGGTTCATACACAAAGAAATACATCATATTCATTGCCAGTATATATAAGTCAGATTCATGAGGGTAATGTCACTGTAGAGAAGTCTTACCATTACTCCTGTACACCACTACGAGAGGCGTCATTACCGTCAATACAAGTGTGAAAATCCAAAATAATGTCGCCTTAGAGCACCAACTTGTCTTGTGAGTTATAAATTGGGGACGCTGAAATACTGCATACAGTCCCATGTTTAAACTGTCAACAATTATTGTCCAGGAATGAGAATAATCAGACACATAACTATTTTTATAATAAAAGATGAATTTTAGCAGTTTTGTTTATAGTCAATAGATGGCGATTATCATTGTCCCTCTCCCGTGAATGTCTTTATATACCAAACCATAATTATATTTTGTTTATTCAATGATCATCACATCTAGTAATTGCCTTTTCAAGTAAGGGAAGCCCAGGGCTTGCTTAGATTCCCTTTATTATTCTTAACGTACATATTCATTGCCAGTATTCACTAAAGGCCCTCTTATTATAGTGGGTGCTGAAAGTGTACATTTTCTCTAGTGTGTGTGAAGCAGCCGACCGCCGAGCCGCCAACTCTGTCAACCAACAACCATTGCCTCCTGTAGTTTTCAAGATCTACATCACTGCTTTCACAAGGGCGGATCCCCCCCTTTTCACCAGAAAATTCAAATATTTTCATTTGATGCAGCATTGTATTCAGACATTTTTGTAAAGTCAAAAGTATTTACTATTGACTTCAGAATATCTCTTAATTTCAAGTGCTCATGGCTTCAAAATGGCTCGCCATCTTCCCCCCCCCCCTTTCGATATTGTTGTCACCTTAGTGGATTTTGCAACTTGTGTGAAAATTCAAGCTTCTGCAAGTTCATAGAAATTTTTCCTTTCGGCCTGCGGTAATAAATTCAGTGTTTACGCAGTTTGCTGGATAATCAGTGACCAGTCTATTCGTAGTGTTATTTTGTGAAATGAAATTGCACAGAATAAATTCAAAGGGCCTTATGTTGCCCAGTTCATCATTGTTGGTCTTTTTTTAACGTACACTGCTTGCAATCACAAATAAAGTTTCCAGTCCACGCCAGGACGTTTGTGGGGAACGAGTTACAGTATTTGGTTCACACTCAGGATGGGATGGAGAAAGGAAACTCACAATGTGCTCTCTGTATACATGTTGTATTGGATGTACAATGCAGCTTGGTGCTGGGAAGTGGCAGCGTGGTTACAAACGTGATGTAGAGAGAGCTGGTTGGTGAGGGTGCTCAGAGGGGGACCAGCTTGTGGGTCGCCATGCTCGCCGGCGGGAGCGAGGGCCGCCAGGCAGCGGCGGAGGAGGTGGTGTAGCTTGCTGCGGCTGCAGCTAGAAGAAGAGGGAGGGCACCACGAGGTCAGGTCTTAAATAGCGGAGGTAGGAGTGGCTTAGTAGTTGACCTCCGTGATGTATGGCGGCGCTGGTTGACCCAGACAACGAGGCATACACGGGAATTCGCGGGGTCGGCTACTCAGCGACAAACAGCGTTTGTAGGGGAGAAATCCACTACAATACTCCCTCCTTCCCTCCAGGCGGTGTAGGAGACTTGTTGTCTGCAGGGTTGCATGGCACATGTGAGGCAGAACGGGCGGTGCATGCCACATGTGAGCCATAACGGCGATGGCGTGGATGAGCCGGCCGCTAGAGGAGACAACTGTCTAAATACACAATATCTGTGGGAGTAGAGAGGGAGAAAAAGGGTGTGTGGAGGCGATGAATGTTGTTCTTCCCTCACGGCAGGTACAGAGTCGTCAGATGCGCCTGCTGGGGTGTGTGGGCCTGGGTCAGGAGCAGGGGCTGTGTCAGCAGAAGCGGATGAGGGCTCGTGACAGCAACTGGGTCCACGACAGCAGCAGGGTGCAGTACAGTAGCAGGGAGTACCTGAGGGAGAAAAGAGGGGTGTGTGGGTCCGCACTCAGGTGCATGGGCCTCGTCGGGAGCAGGGGCTGCATCAGGAGGAGCGGCAGGGGGTACTGCTGGGCCGGGGGCGGCGTCTGAGGCAGGACGGGTGTGCTGGGGTCGGTAGGACGTGGTGCTTGGGGCAGGGAGAGGAGCTGGTGTCTCCTTAGAGAAGCAGTGCTGCTCTAGGGTGTCTAACCTGCGGTGTAGAGACAGTAGTTGTAGAGCCGATGAGAGCTGCCTCTGTGTGGATAAGCCAGTCTTCCATGTTGCTTGAAGACTGGGAGAGTGATCGGTTTCTCCTCCATCCTGTGTGAGTGCGAATCTCCGGGGGTCACCATTTGTGGGGTACGGGTTGTTTGGTTCACACTCAGGATAGGATGGAGAAAGGAAACTCCTTGAGCCTGAACAGGTGCGGATTCGCCACATCCGTGAGGGCTCTGTTCCCTAGCAAGCCAACTAAGGGGTGGTGGTCCGTCACCAAAATGAGGTTCAGGCAGCCAAGGAGGAACAGCCTGTCCTTGCGCAGGCACCATACCACTGCCAGGGCCTCCCCTTCTACTGCAGCCTAGCCAGCCTCGGTCGTGCTCAGATGTCGGCTACCGCACAGAGCCAACCTCCACCCTCCCCTGCAGCAGAAGGGCATTTCTGGCGAGGCAAAGGCAGAGTATTGCTGCAGAACGACGAAGTTGATGCCCTCCCTGCTCCAATAAGTGACAGCTGCCGTAGGCCTGAATTTGTCGTAGTACACCAAGCCGTCCCTTGCCAACTGACAGTTGGTGTCCTGGGCCTGGCGAAACTTAAGCCGCAGCTGGTCGTCCCAATACACTCGCTTGCCCATTGGGTTCTTGAGGAGCTCGCGGAAGGGCTCCATCACAGGTGCAATGGCAAGGAAGGGAGCCAGCTGGTTAACCAGGCCATGCCAGGACCTGATGTCAGTGATTGATGGCTGATCAGGCATGGGGAAGTCTTTGATGGCTGACAGACGTTGGGCGGTGGGCTGGTAAAGGTCCCACCCCAGGAGGAAACCCACAAACTCGGCTTCTCTTCTGCAGAACAAGAACTTTTTCTGGTTTCAGTGTGACACCTGTATGAGCACAGGTCCCCAGAAAATCGTAGGTGTGCCATAACACCCCATTCACACTGGAGTCATAGAGGAGTGTTATCCACTCATTGTACTTAAGGGGCACATCAAACCTCTTGGTGTAGGCATCTGATGCTGAACAATGTCCCATGGGCGTCCTGTAGTATCGAAAACGGCCCCACGGCGTGATGAATGTGGTCAGGTGTCTACCTTCCTCCTCCAACTCCACCTGATGATATCCCCAGAAGGCGTCAGCGAAGATTTTTTACGAGTGCACGGGCACACCGCACACCATGTCGAATGGTGCAGGTGTGTGGTGCGTCTCCCTCTGACAGCTTACATTGAGGCGTTTAAAGTCCATAGTGCGCCGGGCTGACCATTTTTCTTGGCTACCACGACCATCCTGGTGCACCACTCCTTAGCCTCAGGAGAGCAAACTGGCAATCCTTTTCCAATCGGGACACCTCGGTATGTGCTGACAGCATTGCTGGAGTTATACAGGGCGGTATGAGTGCATTTATCCCATCTTCTACAAATACTTTCACTTTGCAACCATGGTTTGATTGCTCCTGTTCTCTTGCATGTAGGGAGAGAGATAGGGCGTATCAAGTTATGAAACTATCTCCTCTTATTACCCACTCTTTCATTACTTCTAGGAATCGTTGTAAGGTTATTCTTCGTAGGGCCAAGCGGAATTTTATAAAAAGAAAGACCGTTGTCCTGAATAACTCTTCTTCTAGTAAATCGTTCTGGTCCTTAACCAAAAATATCTGTAATAACTTCTGCACTCCCTCTTTTCCTCCTCTCTTCCGACCTGATAACTCTATAGCCAACTCTCCCCCTGATAAAGCCAATCTCTTTGGCACCTTATTCTCCTTTAATTTCACCTTAGACGATTCCAACTCTATCCCTCCTACTCCTGCTCCTCCTACTGAACCTATGCACTTTTCTATACTCTCCACTCGCAGGGTTGCTGGCTGTGTTATCCAGGTTGGATGTGAGCAAGGCGCATGGACCTGATGGAATACCCCTTGTGTTCTGAGGGAGTGTGCTAAAATTCTAGCCCGTGCTTGCTCGCCTCTTTCGCCTTTGCCTCAAAACCCAAACTTTTCCTTCTTCTTGGAAGCATGCCTTGGTTCAGCCCATCCCAAAGAAGGGAGACCATTCTAATCCCTCTAACTATCGCCCCATTGCCCCAATTTCATCCCTCTCTATAATTTTCAAAACTATCTTGAACTCTCATTTTCTCCGTTACCTTGAACGCTTTTCTTTTTTGTCGGATCACCAGTATGGCTTTTGCCAGGCAAGATCTACTGATCTGCTTTCCTACTGCACCCATCTTTGGTCATCCTCTCTTAGGGATTATGGAGAAACTTTTGTCGTGGCCCTCGACATCTCCAAAGCATTTGACAGGGTATGGCACAAGTCTTTGCTTTCTGATCCTCACTATTATGGTTTCTCTACCCCACTTTGTTCTCTAATTTCTAGCTTCCCTGAGAACCGATCCATGGCAGTGGTGTCCCACAGTAGTTCTGTTCTTTCACCTACTCTCTTCCTTCTTTTTATCAATGATTTACTTCACACTATGACTAATTCTATCCATTCTTATGCTGATGATTCTACTCTTCACTCTTCTTCACATTTTTCCTTTCCCCCCTAATTCTCAAACTAGATTTGTTTCTTGAGCTGATATCATTTCATCTATCAATGCAGATCTGTGCAGCATCTCCAACACCTGGCGGCCGTTTGCCTCTCTACAAACGATAACAAAAGAACATCGGGAGGCGCAGCGCACTTCATTTAATCTTACATCACATAACATATCTCATCAGGGTAAACAATGGATTTACTATTTCCTCTTTGCACTTGTCTGCTTACATCAAATTCATCAACAAGTTCTTTCCTGATTACAGTTTTAAGGGTTCTTTTTGACAGGCCCAGACTGTATTCAACAGTGTATATTTGCTAGATGCGAGTACGGTGAGTGCATCAACTGTCATGTTCTTTGAGGCCTATGTGAGAGGGGATTGTAGTGGACGTCTCCCCTACAAACTGCGTATCGCATTCCAATGTGCCGCCTTCCCTAGCAACCAACCAGATGTTACCGTATCTTAGCAACGGAACCAGTCACCGGCGACTTTCTGGGTTTTCCCAACATGACTCATGGCGGCTGCTGCGGGGTATATAAGCTCTGTCTCTCCATTGAGATTCATTCTAACCATTCTTCTTGAACAAGCAACACCTCCTCCTCCGCCGC